CTCTGAAGTATTAGGGTTTCAAACACAAGCTGTTTGATGTCGTTACTATGAACTATCATCAGCTTTACATTTAAGTAGTATTTGACTAGATTTTGAAAAGAGAGGAGAAGAAAATTAAATTGAATCATTTTTACCTGTTATAAACCTTAAAGTTTAGATCATAATGTTCTCCAGCAGCATTCATTTCTTACTCATAGGTGTTTACACTGCTGCATCCGAAATTTCATTCTGCATATTTGCAATCCCAAGGATTTACTGCATATTAATTTCCCATTACTAGCATTACAGTAACTAATAAATTAGCTCAAATTGCATGAAAGTAATTTCAGATACAAACCTGCTACACAGTGGATGTATTTTATGATTTGTTTCATACAGAGACATTCAGAGACCTGAACTCTAAACAGGATGGCGGGGCAGGAAATCTGTTTCATGCCAACAACTTAACATTAACACGATCACCTTTGTCACAACAAGCGTTCCATATGCAGGAATTTACTGTCAAAGCAGTCTGACATTAGAATGCCATTCCATTACAGCATCAGTATTTGGAAACTTTTCAAAAATGATTACGCTCTGCCCTTAACTGCTGAAGAGAGGCAAGAACAGGAAATAAAAGTTTAAGAGAACCGTAAAGAGCCTTTTACTTATGTCTCAGCTGATATCCATCAAAACAAGAGAGTTTTCTTTACTCGTGACAATCCTGTTTGTCAACGCTGCTGCGAGTGTTTCCTATTCTGTTCCAGGTCCCCAACCATTTACATGATTGATAAATGTTGTTGTTTTGAAACACTGTTAGGACTTCTCTGCTGATGCCTTTTTCTGATAAGACGGAAAAAAAGGCAATAATGATCAAGACAATTCTCTTCAAAGCCACTTCATTAGAATGATCAATAACATTGACAATCTATCTGTTTTCAAAGTCAGCGACAAACCTGCTGACTTCGCAAACTGAACAGACATGAAATTTTATACAGAGTCCAATACTATTTTCACTACTGTAGTATTATAGTAAAATTGTCTGGTGTCAGTAAAGTGTACCAACACAACCACCGCAGTTTTCAAGCTAATACATTCTATTTCACTCCTGCTATAGGAGAGGACAAATTTTAAGAGGCTGCAGGAAAATGGCCAGCAACCAAGTACTACTGGTTCTCTTCTACGGAGAAATCTGGAAATCACTTTCTACAGCAGTACCTCACAACACTTCTATGAATAAAAGAAACACGTACACCAGTCGCTGGAGTGCAGCAGAAGACAAAGCTCCTCTATATGAATTGCAAGCAACTGTACTGAGCTTACACAAATCTGGAAGAGCAGTGACTGTTACGACACCCCTGCTGTTCCCCAAAGCGGAATCTAGCGATGGGAGCTGGATAGCAGCACTCATAATTGGCATCATTTTGATTAGTATGATAGTGGCTATTATTATAATTCTTCTGTGGAAATGCTGCAAGAGGCCAGTTCTAGTTGATTCAAATTGGGCAGGTCGTTCCCCGTTTGCGGATGGAGACACACCAGATGTCTTTATGGAATCTGACCAGGCTCCCAAACGTTCATCAATTTTATTTATGTTGCCTTGGAAATTGAAACAAGACACAAACTTACAGCAGAATCCCACTGCATCAGAGAAACCACCCAACTGCACTACCAGTAATGAAAACAGCCAGTTGCCTCCACCAGCAGCGCCCTTCGGTTCCCAACACGGAGAGCCCTTCGGTTCCCAACACGGAGAGCCCTTCGGTTCCCAACACGGAGAGCCCTTCGGTTCCCAACACGGAGAGCCCTTCGGTTCCCAACACGGAGAGCCCTTCGGTTCCCAACACGGAGAGCCCTTCGGTTCCCAACACGGAGAGCCCTTCGGTTCCCAACACGGACGCTCCTCCATCTCCCAGCCCAGAAACAGCAAGCTCCGCACGTGACTCCTGTCCTTCCCCAGCGGCTTCACCCGAAGCCCCGGACCTGCCACCTCCACCGGACTGGCTCAGGGAACCAGTGGAGGGTCACAGTTCAGACCTCAGCAAGTACCAGGAGCTGCCCTCAGCAGCAGAGGAACAATTGCCTCCGCCACCCGAGTTACTTATGCCAGAGCTTCACGAACCGCTGCCCCAGCTGCCGCTGCCAGAA